AAATTCACTTACAGATTGATGTCTTCTTCCGCTAAAGTCAAATATCGTGGACGTCACCTCCTGCTCCAAGTCAGAACCGTCGAAATGCGATCCTTCCTTCCTTCCTTCCAATTCCTTCCCTCGTTCCCTCGTAGCAGAAGCACAAACTCACCGGAAATTCGAAGTTCGTCACGAGATTCGTCCGACACTTTCATCCGACACTTCCGAAACGCGCGCGATTGGCTTTTAGCGAATAACAACGCTAAAACCTGTCACGGTCCCGTTGTCACGACACTTGCCTTCGCGCGACAGAACAACAAGAAGTTCGAGGTCTATTTGAAGGACATGGTGCGTCAAAGAGAAACATTCGCGGCGAAGATCGACGTCGACGAATGGATAGAATCGCGATTAATGCCGATCGTACGCGGTCTCTAATTAATACAGCCGGATGCGTGGGCATTTCGGAAATGCCGAGCGCGAACGTTCAATCACACGTATGCGAAATTCACGACCGTCGCGTAATAGGAAGCGTGAATAATCTGGATCGGCATTGCTCCGAACCGCGACGCGGAACGCGCTAACAATTAAGATGGCAACATTGTGCGATGACGAAAAAGGACGCTCAGCGTACTTCACGCTGTACACTACAGATCGAATATTTCGAATATGCAGGTCAACCGTACGGTAAACTATATTAACGCGTATCCGAGCGATATCCCGATCGCGCTATCACATAGTTTACAACAATCGCGACGAATGAATAACGCGAAACGATGTAAGGACAATGACTGCAGTAGCGCGAGTCGACGACATCGCGGCCGTCTATACACGTTGAGCGATTCATAGCGACTGTTCGCGCTAGTCCGATACGATCGAATGACCGGCCGATACATCACTCGGCCACTCCTGATACATGTTTACTGTTTACTTACCCGCACTATACGCTACCGCGCAAAAATAAAAAATGAAAGCAACGCGGAGCGACGTCGCAGCGTCGGCGTCGCGGCGTCGGTCGCGCCCGCTTCGAACCGCCGCGGCGAGAGCGAAACGAACTAAGATAGTGGCGCCGCGCAGCGCGTAGTATACTTTCGTGCCCGTAGCTGACGCGATCAAATATGGCCAATTGAATACGACAAATTATTAGCGCCCATCCAAAATACGTTTGCAGTCATACCTGGTAAGATTTTCATTACTCCCGATACGCTATCACGCAATTTATACGATAATTACGGCGATAAAATGCGCGTGAAACGTGCTAAGGATGATTTTGATGGTTATAACGCGCACCGTCGATGTCGCGTACGCGCCGATGTGCGAGAGTAAGAAAACGCGATTCGCAGCGAGTTCCAAAGATTCGTCGCAGCCCGCACTAATCCGATAGCTAAAACAGTCACCCGGCACTTTGCTCGACGCTACCGATATTCATTTATCCGCACGATTTATTCCTGTCGCGCGGAAAATAGAAATTTAACGCGGAGCGATATCACTTCGTTCCCAAGCTGTCGCGCGTCGCTGCCGCAATTGCGAAATGAAACCGGCTAGCACATTAAGATGGCAGCACATTACTAGAAAGACAGTGCATATAGTGATGTAATCTAATCTTGAAATTAATAGCGAATTAATAATTATCATATAATTATATAATAATAATAATATTATATTTTATATTTTAATGCTCCAATCTAGTCGGAGTTTGCAGTTTTGATAATTATTGCGATCGCTTATAAATTCATAAATTAATTCAATATTGCGATTGTATATATCATATATTTATTAATATGTATTATAAATATATTTACAATCGCTTTACGTGTAATTTATTTTATATTTTTCGCAATTCTTTTTTCTCGATTTTGCAAGGAAATTCGGACATTCATAACACAAATGATAAAGCGATGCGTTAACTCAAAACTTGTACTACATACATTCAAAATAAAATTATTATCATTTATTATTATTTTTCTGCCTAAATACCCAGAGTCATCGTAAAGTCTACGATCATTCTTCACGGAAGCACAACGTCGGGGTGCATTCGACCGAGAAAAATGTTCGCCTCGGGCATAATGTTGGTATGCAAGCGTGAAAAATTTAGTGAGCCGAGGGTGAGAAACACGCGGGCGTTTGAAAATTTTTCGTGCGACATTCCTCGTCGGGATATGCCGGATAATAATTTCACCGGTCACGCGCGCATTCACGTACGTTATACATATATTCCGGGAGCGACACTGACTGGCGGGGGAAGAGTCTTCCAAGATTAACGATTCCGTAAAATTTTCAACCAGATTCCGCGCCGAGGACGCGCGCCCGCGACCGGCGCACAGCACGCGGCGTTCGGTCGAGAGAACGTGTATCGAGCGCTCTGTTTTATTTTTCATGTATTTCCGTTTAGCGTTGCATCAGCGAAATTTGGGTCGCGCGAAGCCGTTAAGTCTGTAGGTCGATAAAATTTTCATAAATGCTAATTCGCACCAGGCTCGGCGTATATATATACGGCCACAAAATTAAATCATCTGCCTCCTGCGGAGATCGCTTTATTATGAAGCGTGCGCGCGATCCTCTCGAGAAAGATCTTTCATTCCGTGTACGCGGAATTAAAAAAAGAGAAGCTGTGGAAAGAATAGACGAGACCAGTATCGTCAACTTTGTCGGTGTGGTCCAATCTTGGAACATCACTGTCGACCATTAAGTTAGTCTTTACTTAGACGAGTTGTTTTTATTGCTTTCTTAACTCGCTCGGGACTTCTCAAAATAACACGTCACGAAAATAATCTATTGTGCCTGTTTAAGCACTTTCTAATTTTTCTCGATTAATCTCATACTTTTGAATAATATAAAAATGACTAAATGTTAAAAATACATTACATATATATTATATTGTATAATAGCATATAATAATCGCCTCTAGTATATGTGTTTTCATAATCGAATAAAAATTCCATTTTGGATCGCATACAAAAATTTCATTTAATATCAATTTGCTTTTGTACCTCGCAAATAAAATAATTTACAATTACTATATGTCATAAAATTCCGCGATGCAATTTTATTTTGAAAGGAATATTAAATCCATATTGTTATCGCGCGCAATTCTATCGATTTTACAGGAAGGCCGCTACATCAATCGCAATACAATTCTACCGGAAAAACGAATTCGTGACGGCAATTGAAAAGCAAAAGTGATAAAGATGGATATGGCGTGCTGCATATAGTTTATTAGCGTGTGCGGTAGCGCGGCGGTGGCGGCGAACAATCCAAACCTTACGTTCGACAGTTATGAAACTGAAGCACCGGCATGCTTCGGTAAGTTGTTCAGGTGAAAACATAAACGCAGCCAAATGTATTATGCCTGCGTAAGAAGCATGCTGTTGTTCTATTGTTATACTATATACGGACGCGCGCCGCAGGACCGCGATCAACATGCCGCAAACATCTGTACCGTAAGCGCAGAGATAGACGAACGCCAAAGCCGTAAGGGGGTCGTCAACTATGTACATAATTTCCAACTTCTAACTCTATCCATTCCTGCAACGGACGATCCGGACCGTCCAGTAGCGCCAAATCTCTACGCGCCCAGCCGCTCAGCGCGCGCGGTCAACCCCAGATATATGTTCGCCTGACGCGCGAATAGCACCGCGCATGGGAATAGTCTCATTTGTATTTGTTTGTATGCTGTCTCATTAATAAAATGAATCAGCGGCAAAACAGAAAATTACTCGAATCGCGATAACGGCGCCGTAAAATCAGGACATGGTTATCGTGTAGCTAGAACGAAATATACGCGACCTCGCATTGTTTCGTTATCGAATATAGGATTTATTATTAGCTAGAATGAATAATACTTCTAAATTATTTAAACATTAATGGATGTGATATTTTATTGTTGGCTTGTATTTTTTACTCTCTTTCTTAATACTTATAAATTTTAACTTTAAAAGAGTCACGTTAAAATTCATAATTCATTATCTACGAAGACGTTTTGAATTTGTTAATCGATTATACAAGTACAATCGATCGGCAATCTTATACATACATACAAGATCAAATGATCGTTCGTTGTCATGGCCGAGACAATCTGATTTGACTTCGACTCGATTCAACCTCAATTTGGCTTACATCCTTTTTTTCGGCAGAAAACCGTCAAAATTACTAAATTCCAAATGGGGTGGAGTTTGACAAGGACGTATGGCCAGTGTAATGGCAGCCATGGTGCATCGACGAAAGTGCAGGAATCCTTTCCATCAATGCAAGTCCTGCCGGTATGCTCCCCGATCATAACGGCTGCAGTGAAGTCCACTTGTAGAGCAAGACGGATGTTCGTTTCTGTCATCATCCTGATCTTTTTGTTGGCCGCTATATATTGGGTATCCCTGCACCAGCAAGGGAACCCCGTACTACGTCGACCAATGAGAATTCAACCTCAAGCTTCACGAAATACCGCGTCGCAGCAAACCGAGGCTGCGGAAACGGCTGAGAGATGAGGTAACATAACTAATAATTTTCTAATTTTTTTCGAAAAAGACACGCAAGATAATTCAGTATCTAAGATGAAAATTTCGAGGAGTACATAATACGAATTAACAGAGAATAATACTAATAGAAGATAAATGGCAAATAAATTTAAAAATATCAAAGTAGGTAATCGGCATTGAGAGAGCAAAAAAAATAAACCCGAAGCAACAACAATATGGACTTGTATTTCCAAGCAGCATGCGATACTGTATTTCATCGCCGGCCACTGATACTGTATATCGCAGTAGCAGCTGTGGTACGATGTGCATATGCCATATAAAAACAACCAATCCTGCAAGTCTAATAAGCTGTCTAAAAAAAACACTGAAACGAAAAAAAACAATGTATAATAAAACTTTTATAACATCGTGCATATGAAATATTAATTTCGTCCTTAATAATAACGCTAATATGCCTGTCACGAATTATACAAACGATTAGTTTTATACTTGTTGGAAATCTCGGAAATTCTGTTACTTTGCATGAAATAAAAATTGTGAGAATCAAACCGGTAATTTCGTTAATTCAAATTTATTATTAATATACAAATATTAGATGCATAAAGTATCGTGATATTCTACTTACTCTCACACTAATTACATTGTATATAAAATCATAGTAGAACGATAAAAATAAACCCTTGAACTTAAATATACGACATTCATTTTGATGTATGTCAAGATATTCGTGTACAAATTGTACGAATATGTATAATAAAGTTGTTGAGTAATTGCGTATGACCGGGTTAATTCCACGGTCGCAACTCGAGGCAAGGCCTCAGGTTGATAATAATGAGGTGGCGGACTATTCTGGAGAGCGGCAGAATGATTTCAAGGCACCAAGTTATTTTTCTAAGTTTTTCTTTTAAATTGACTTTATTAAGTTTCTAGCTATGTCGCGCGCGGACAGCGTTCTGATAATGAATTGTAATAGTATTATTATAGGCGACGGTAGTGAGCAGAGTGATCTGTCGACCGGTTCCTTGAGAGGAACTGAGGCTGTCGGATCGTCGACATCGATATCGATTTCTGAGAGTGCCCGAAATATCGCGATCCTTATTTACGGTAAAAGCTAACGCTTATGACTCGACTCGTAATGCGTCCTTCAGATATGTGTATATCATGACTCGCAACTTTAAATATAATGTACAAGTCTAAACAAAAGTCGTAATAAGATTGAATATATGGAACAAATATTGCGAAGGTAAAATGTAAAAAATCAAATAAACTGTAACAATAAATGACGATAGTGACTTTAGTCGAAGCTACCTAGCTGGTCAAGGGCACGCAACATCATCCCTGCCTTTTTAAGCATCCGATTTTCAATCATGCCGTACGCAAACGGCAGCTTGGCGATAATGTCTCGTTTCAAAAGTTCACGATCTACTTCCGGATATTCATCTTTCACCGTGTCTAAATAAATCTCTAAAATATTCTGGCAAAATATCGTGACCTTCGACAGATTATCGTCGTCAGGTAGATTTTCGAGGAGAATGTGACCGAAATCGATCGATGGTGAACAGTACCTCATTGTGCTCCAATCAATCACTTTTACGTCGCTCGGTCTCCCATTCTCGTACTCGAATAACAAGTTATTCCGCGTGAAATCACCATGACAGATGGTCCAAAAATCATTAGGCTCCATTTCAGTCGTTACGTCTTGCTTATTTCTTATTTTCTCGGAGAGAGCTGCCTCAAGTAACAAAATGGGACCTAATGAAATGTTTAAACCAAATCCAGGATTCAATAACGATGTTCCAATAATTTCAGATATGCTGAAAGTGACATAAGATCAAAGATAGATACGTTATATATCTTTTCAATTATATTATTTTTTAAATAATATTAATAACATATGATTATAATACTAGTTATTATTATATAATAAAACCATGAATCAATGTAAATATGTTCTTCTTATAAAGACGTAATTTTTAATTTGGAATGTGTGCACAAATAATAATCGAAATTTACCTGGGATTGCCTGTCGAAGAGCTTGTATGAAAGTGCAACCAATCCATCGGTACGGACAGTTTCGCATAGAACTCCTTGAAAATGGGAAACGTATCTGCCTTCAGCTTCAATCCCTTGCCATGAAACGTTGCCAAAGCTTTCATGCACAATTTCAGGTGATCCTCGTCCAATTTATCATCTACTTGCGTATAACCACGCGTGGCCAGATCTTCCAATACGATAACAGGCTGACCATCGAATCGACCCAGGTCGGACACATAACACTTCGGGATGCCGTCCGTTCCATAGTTGAGCGTCATCTTGCTGTAAAACATCTCCTCGTTCAGGAATGGACCGGACGGCACAGTTTCCATGTGTTTAAGCAGCTTGATAATAAGAGGAAAGCTACATGTCACTCCGGAAAACTTTACGCGCGCCGTCACCCGGTGTAGCGTGTTCTTGCTACTGCTCTTCCGATCAAAGTGCTCCACATCGACGGAATCGAACTCGACGAACTCTCTGGATCCGGGCTCGCAGAAATAACGATTATGGACCATCTCCGGTATCAATATACGCCTTATGAAGTCGCAATATTTGCATTCGCACTTCTCTACTGGGTCCACCGACTTCGTGGAGGGATCTGGGTCGGCCATAGCGAAAGGGAAAATAATATCGCTGTAATAAAACACGGCAGCAATTAAGGACACCGGCACTGCGAGAGCGCGCGCTTAAAGCCGGAAAGTCGAGAATTATGAGGATTTTTTTTTTATTACGCGAGCCCGCTCGTTCTAATAACGTTGTCGCGACGAGTGCCATGCGCGTTAATAATGTTTATCGTCACGAAGTGCAACGAGTCAGCGGGCGACGGAATAATTAAAAAACATTTTAACCGTGTCGTTAGCCTCGAGAGTGAGTCAAAATGCAACATAGACGTTGATGTAAACGAGCATTTTTATCAATAATTTAAATGAATAGCGTACGCAGCTGCCATAATTATAAAGATTACCCGAAAGTAATATAACCAAAAACTTTACCAGCAGGTTCTAAATATATCTCCCAACGCGTTCCACTACAAGTGTTCACGAGCTCCGTTATACATTCCAAACAGATCTCCCCTCCGCGCATTCTTTATTTATCTGACCGATAACAGAAGTTATACCAACATGACGAGCCACTTATTCAATTCACGTATTTTGCTTCTTATAAAACACTTGCTATTAAAATCTTTAATAGAGGAGAGAAAAACTTCTAAGCTAAGTTTAGACAACTGTCGCAACAAATAACGTTAAATGATGATGAAATATTCAGTTACGTTTCCTCTTTCCGATTTAATCGACTTTAACCGGTTTTTATTGGTTTTTAATGATGTCGCAAATAAGTTTACGCCACGCCGAGATGTGACGAACCGTTTAGGAAACGTCGCCGTCTCTTAAGTGCATTTTCAACGGCATTTAATCAGAGAAAAGGTATCGATCTTGAGAAAAGTGGAAGTAACTTTAAATTGCGTTATATAGAGATTATCGTCGTTAAAGAAATTACTCAGTTTAATCGGATCTATATAATTAATTGGATTTATTGTAACCGGGTGACGCGTGAGTCTTGGACTTAAATGCTGAGAGAAAAATGTTCTCTCACCGTGTCATAACGAATTTGAAACTTTGAAGACAAAGCGCAAATTGCAAAGTTTTCATAGCAAACGTACGTTTCTAGCGTAAGAAACTTTAAAGATGTTTCAAAACCGATAAAAAAACTGTTCTCGCTTTATGATGAAATACCTATTTACGTCAGCGAATTTTGTTAAAATAATGATAGGTAAATTATCGATAATTTTATTTTGACGGATCGCTACAACTTCAAATCTTAACAGAAGCAACAACAAGCACCGAACATCTCGTGCTTGACATTTCCATCATTTACAATTCAAAATCTAAATTTTCAAGTATAATTTTCCTAAATTTCGAACAAACTCATGCTGCGAATAGAATAATGCATTATTGATCAGGCGGAGGAGGACAAACGGGCACGACAGCTGCAGCCGGGATCTAAATTCGTTAAAGCAAATCAATGATCTAGCCTCTGGTACCGATGATTAATTTACCCTATAACGCGGCCTCGATGTCACAGGTCACGCCCTGTCAGAACGTACCCGTGCAGACGAGTCAGTATAATTTTCCAACATGTCAACAACGGCAAACCAGCACTCAGCAGATGCAAACTGCAGCATGCGGTCCGTGCTCCGGAACTTCTCAAGGTACAAAGCCGATCATGTCAATCAAACGCTAAATTACGCAATAATTTAATGTCAAGTAATTTAAGCATTGACTATCTTTTAAAAATATAATTTAAATAAAGCGAATTAAAGCCGCGGAAAGAGGCATTACTCTATAAATAAACAAATATTTTATTCCAAAATATCTATTGAATAAAGTGCCAGTTCTGAGTTTGTTCTCAGTTTTTATCCATTAAATTTACGCATGTAATAGTAATAATAAAGCTTAAAAGTCTATATATTTATTTGTTTGTTTGTTTATTTATAAGTAGCATAAATTGAAAAATAAGTTATTTAAAATTTTAACAGTAGATGAATTATATCCTTTTTAGCAGTTACATTAATTATAACATTTTCAAAACAATAATAAATTAATTGTTAATATTATGTTTTTAGTGGTTTTTAATCAATTAAAAACAATTATTAAAATCTGTCTGAAGTTTTCACGGGAGATAAATATTCTCTTGTAATTACATCAGTAATAATATTTTCAAAATAATAATTAATTAAATGAGTAATTATCGATTTTCTCTGTTTGTTTGTTTGTTTGTTCATAAATGGTATCAATTAAAAACCTAAATATATGGACGATTCAGCTGATTTTAATAAAATACTTAACGATAATTTCGTAACAAGAAATACGCATAAGTGGCTGACCTAAATTAATATTCGATTTTCCTGTTCATAATTCTGTTTCGATTTTCCTTATTTATCTAGGAGGACCCTTTACCCCTCACGTTTGTCCGCCGGGTGCTTACATAGTGACACATCAATGCACACCGGCCAATGTACCACAGCCAATAACGAATCCATGTCATCCAGTCTTTCAGAGTCTACCGCCGACTCATCCCGGCTGCGGCCAGCTGCCGCAGAATATTTTGGAGCAGATTCGTGCGTGCGTTAGCAATCCCGCGCCCATCTTCATCCTCCCTGGCAACTGCCAACCATCGCTGGCATCCCAACAACAACAGCAGCAGCCGTCCGTGCCTCCTTTGGCACCTCAAATCGTGTCCTCGCCTCCAGCGGCATTTCCACCGGGTGGATTAACTTACCCCGCCGCCTGTTATCCGCCACCGCCGCCGCCACCGCCGCCGTTTTACCCCTATCCCATGCCTCTGCCCGCGTTCTGCGATCCGTTTATTCGCACCCGTGAGACCATGTCGAATTGCGGATGCTGCCGGAAAGGGGACATTGAGTCGACGGAGATCAGAAACATTTTACGGGCCGGCTGCCGTTACGACGCTACCGATCTGGATGATCATCGTTGCACGCCCACCGTCGATGATGCTATCTGCTCGAAAAGGAACTGTCCGTCCTCGCTACATCTGCAAGCTCTCGCATCTCAATTTCTGTCGATGCAAGGTATCATACCGTGCGCTGCCACACGACTGGTGCTACGTAAAGTGCCGGGCTCGAATGTAACCACCACCATGGAGGACACGATGGGGAGGGCGCAAAAGGCGATAAGCGCCCTAACGAAGGATCAACTGTTATCGGAATCGAGGAACGCGCAGCAAGTAAATGCACTGATTAACCTGCATATGACGGCCAATCCACCACCTAATATCATCCCGATCCTCACTCTGGTGCAGCTGAAGATGAACCTGCTGAAGGCACAGGTCGAGGGGCTCATCAATCAGAAGATAATGGAGATTCAAGGAGTTGGTGTGGAGGTATTAACGTACAATTTAATATACATATTTTAATAAACTTATAATATTTCGAGCTCGAGTATATATGAATTTAATTTCTATGTTTGTTCTTTCAGTATTATAAAGTTATTTTTATACATGTTTTGCTTTCTGTATCAAGGTGGCGACTGATCTCATAGATCCCACGATTCTCGCCCTGAAATCTGACGCTGAGCTGCGGGACTTCCTGTCGGTGCTGCGACAGAAAGAATGCGACGAGCGAGTGAATGTAAATTTTGCACCGTACCGGTCGCAGCGCGCGATCGCGGAGACTCGGCTGAGCAACGTTCAGAATAAGATTCGTCAAGTCGAGGCAGAGTTCGATCGCAGGCGATGCGCGATGCTGCCCGCGCCGACATTGTCGTCGCGCGTTGTGCAACAATTCTCTAGACCGTGTTATTCAGCGAGATTCGAGGATCCCAGAAGGTTGTACAGCACGTTGCCGCCGGACATTCCTCGTTCGCCAGACCCGTTCACCTACGTGAAACCGCGAAGTCCCAAGAGGCTGCTGCTGAAGCCATGTACGGGTAAACCTGCTACGCGACCCGCGGTTGCCGTTCCAGCAGCCGGCACGCGCAGCAATCCTCCCAAAAATCCGCACGACGGTAGCGATGCCGACCGCGCGAAGGAACAACGTCCTGCGACCTCCGAGAGTCCCGAGCGGAAGCGTTCCAGCACGGAGAATTGCGCGTGTTGCGACAGGACATCGTCGGAAGAGAGCATTGGCGAGGCTAAAAAAAAACTTCGACCAAGGATCGTCGAAATAGACGCGACGACGATCAGTAATGTCGACGAATTAGAACATGAGGCGTCGTCCTTGTTGAAGCTATCGTCGAATGTCTGCGTGAGAATCGATGCGGAGGCAAATACGCAAAAATACGGGAAAAGAAACGAAATATCGATCAATAGAGTTCCATGCGGCGCGAAATGTTGGACAGCCGAGGCGTACGTCAACGTCGCCGACGACGAATCGGTGAAGACTTTAACGGAATCTGAGAGCGATATAGTTACGTTCAGCGAGACGATCGATGCGGCAGACGTTTGCGAAGTACGAGATGTAATTGAGATTCGAAGCTGCGATCAGATAGTGGATCGGCAGGAATTTGGAAGTTCGTCAAATCTACAGCTATTTGAAAAACAAGCTGAAGATGCAATTACAATTTCGAAAAGAGACAAAATAATTGAAGAACGTAATGTTGAAATTAAAAGTTCAGGAGAGGTTTTGCCACCGGAAGTTGATCAAGAAGATGTGAGAGCCACAACTACTGCGGAAGTTGCAAATAAAGATCCAATTTCGAGTGTGCAGGAAACGGAACAAAAGTCATTGGACGGTATATGTACCTCATCATTAAAAATTATATTAGAACCGAACAAAGAAAAACGCGAGAATAAAAAGGAAGATAAAAAGGAAGGTGAAATTTTGCCATCGTCCGCGGATGCGACGATAGAACAAAATATAAGTCAAGTACCAATGAGCAAAACCAAGAAGAAAATAAGATTTCACATTGTCTCGTTGATGACAAATATTGCATATGATAAAAGCCGTAGATATGGAGAAAAGCAAAAAATCGAGGAGGAAATAGCAACGAGTGAAAGAAAAATAACCACCGAGTCGGATATTGAAAAATTAAATTCGATAGAAAGTCTTCTAAAAAGTGCCGTCACGCACAATATTACCGGAAAAGATCACTCGGAGAATATATTTCCAAAGAGATTGGATCTTCCAAAGCTTTGCTTCGATCATCAATGCCAAGCCACATTCAAAGAAGATAAAAATACAACCGCCGCATTGTTAAGGGCAAATATATTTCCTCCATTCAAAAATCTGCATAAACATGTAACAGGTAAACCATTGGTTTCTTTATATTGACATAATTTTCTATATTTATCTTTAGAAAGAGAAAAAGTAATTTTCCATGTTTTCATTTTATAATTTGCAATGGCTTTTCATTAGTCTGCATCAGAATATAATTCTAGAAATTGCATAGTTCTGCACACAGAATACCAAGTATAAAAGAGTTTAAATCAAAATTTTTTTACTCAGATAATGAGAAAAATGGAGACGAGGTAGGAACTTATCCAAGTCCGATAACGAAAGCAGGAATTACGACTACAAAACGTTTATCCCGCTGTAACGATGTCACAGGAAGTACCTTAGAAACTCTTTGCAAGAATAACGTGCCTTATCATTCCGATGTGGATTGTGAAAAAAGCTTAATTTCAAAACTATTTTTTATCATTGACAATTGCGTGACCGCCTTTATCAATAAAATAATTGCAATCAACGGAAAATTGTTATATGCGTTTCGTAGCGCGATATTCCGTAAAAATTTAAATATTGATGTCCTTAGAAGAGACGTTCCGATAGGCGATCATCCTGAAATGATCTCGAAAGATTACAATTCATTCCCTATAAGCGCCTCGCGTTATTCTTCTGGCTTGAATTATAAAACTTCCAAAATAAGCAAACATAATTTTCGCGATACAAACTTATTGCGGATTTCTGCGAAAGAAGAATATAATGGAATGCATAACATAAAACATTCGATAATTGAAGACAAAAAAACCGACACAAGATATTTATTGATCGATACATCGAGTCACAATCGTGACCTAATACTGACGCGTGATTTGGGTCGACCTTACAAAGTGCAGAAGAGTCTCTTGATACGTAGTCGATTGAAAAATTCTCTAAATTCGCAGGATTATCCGCGTCCTTTTTCTCTTTTGAAACGTACTGAGGAAAATGTACTTGAATCTCGTAAAACAAAACGTAACGAGAACGTAGGAATGATGAAAAAAAACGGAATACGCGAATTGAAGAATAGCGAAAAATTCTGGACATTATCGGAAATTGTAAAAATAAATGAAATTAACGACAAAATATCAGAAATCAGGGAATACGACAATGTGTCCAAAGAACAAATTTTAAACAAATATTTGCATAATATTAAAAACAACAATGAATCTACCGTGCAAGAGCATGCAGTCGTCGATAACACTACAGTCAGTAATGAACGCGTAATAAACGTTCATGATTATCTCGGATTGCAAACTGAAATAAATACGAGTATATGCAAAAGCCATAGCTCATGTTTATTGATATCTAGTAACTGATAGATTTAGGAATACGTGATATTAGTAAATAATAAGGAATTGTAAAGGTATGTTATGATAATCTATATCTCGAGCTAAAGGCTGATTAAAGAGTACACAACTATAGTAACTATAGTAACTTCTTTCCTTTATTAATAACTTTTATTCTTTCGTCAGTGATCTATTCTCTCGTCGCAATAGCTGTCTAATGAGAATCTTTAGAATTGAGACATAACAGTACGACGATAAATATATTTCAATGCTTTTCCAAAATCATTCATTCCAGACTCTACAAAAGAGTTGCAAGAATGGAAAAGGTATTTGTCACATGTCCTGTACACTCGCATCGAATCAGCAGCCCACCATACCGTTATAACGTGAACACATATCAAGTACGGTTTAATTCCCTTGCGTGATTTTGCGATCTCTCTCTAATTTATTAATATATATATTATAAATTTCTTACATTTTAATCGATTGATTATCAGTAGAAAATAAACAGACACATTGGTTGTTATAAGAAAACTAATATCGCAACAACGAAATCCCGTGTACATATCAAAATACACAAGTAACAATGTCACGCTTGACATTGTTTTATATATATATATATATAAATATAATGCTCTCTTCAACGAATAACAAGATGTTTTATCTTGGATTTGAAAATGTCAGAGACAAAATGGAGATGAAATTGGCATTTTACAAGAATAATATGAAATTTATAATTGGAAGAACTCATGTGTATATTCGCAGATTGTAAATACATAAAAATATCAAGCTCCGCAATGAAAAAGCAATTCAAAGTATCAGTTAGAGCCATATTAATATATTATTAATAAATGTACCTCACGTACATATTGTAATATCAAAGTTACAAACGGACCATGCTTAAGATAAATACGTTCTAAATTTCTTACAGAACTATGTCTAACCGCAGACTGAAGAGACACTTGTGGAAGAGAAAGATCGAACCTATTGTTGTGAAATATTTTATCAGTCAAGACAATCTCCGCTTCTATCATGAAAAATTTCGTTTCAAGGAACTGAGTAACCACGTCACTTTCCGAAGTTTAATAAATTATCGCATAATACAGTGTCGATTTAATACATAGTATTTCACGACTGTTATATAGATATATATTAAATATCTTGCTTTTTAATTAATGAAAAAAATTTAGTAATTTTTTTTAAGTTACGTTGCATACAAGAATTTAATATCTACAGATAATTTTACAGATCTTTTCATTTGCTGGATATCTTAAAGAATAAATATTTGATCTTTTCTGTAGCTCCATGGCTACTATTTAGCGAAATACGGCCGTCACATATAATAAGTCACAATTAGTCCGTTATTATTGTTGGCAGAATACTTTATGAAAAATAAATGATAGATAACAAAACAATAGTATAGAATAATATACTGTCCATATAAGATCATGAATATTTTTTAGCGTGGTGCAATTGTGTATAGACACTCCTTCGTAATAATATTAGTCTCACTTAAAAAAAAAAAACTTAAAAAAGATGAATATTTTTTTGTCAATCAATATCAATCTTCTCTCAACCAATATCAATTATTCTTGAAATATTATCCTTTTTCGATGGATAAATTATATACAAAAATATTTACAGAGATACATATACACCACTAATACAGTCAAATTTCATGAAAAAAAAAAAACTTAAATAATGATATATATTGTAACTGTAATATAATTTAGTTAAAAATTAATACTTCTTACGATAAATCTTTGATCAAAGAACTTAAGTAACTAAACGTTCAAGTTTAATTACTTGCAATATATATAACTATAAAATTGCTTAGGCAAATCTTTTATATTCATAACAATATAAATTGCAAATGAATTTTTTTACACAATTTCAACAAAAAAAAATGAAACACTAACCGATTAAAACTAAATGGACGAAATTGTTGAAATGAATAGTATATATAACGTAGCACGTGTTATAATTCATCTAAATTTAATGTAGAGTTTATAATACGTCACTTTTGTAATAAAAAAAAAACTTTGAATTATCTCTGAAAAAATTGTGATAGTCATGAAGCCATTTTTATAATCATTAATAAACTTCGAACGTGACTATCGAAAATTAAGTAGTAGGCAGATTACGCATCTTTTAAATCTGTTGATTTTATCCCGAATAAACGGGTTTCATTATGTACAAGCTGAATTTCCTGCTCGAGAACGTCAACTTGGACAAAGGCACAATTGACCATTGGTAATGTTTGTGTGTGCAAAATATTACTATATAAAAATTAAAATTCTCCCCACACATTTCGAGAACTAAAATAACAATAAATATAAGCAAAGCGAATACTATTTTTTGTATACAATGTACAATCGAAGTCCTGTCACTTTCCCTTCTAACAAAAACATTCAAAATTACTATTCTCATCCTGAAATCGAGAAATTATTCGGGCGTTTCAGTTCCCGCTTTTTCAGTTTTCGCTAAGTTAGTTTAAGTTGTATTAAATTCTTTCTTAATTCACGCCTTTGGTGTACTCAGCTCTTAGTTGGCCGAGTGTCACTTTTATATCGTGAAAACTCGGTCTTTTTTCTGGCTGTAAATCCCATGCCTGTTAACGAATAACGTCTGAGTAACAACAAAATGTGACAGATAATACAACATGTAAGAGAAGAGATAAAAATTTAATATACCTGTCTCATAATATCGTAAACTTCCGCAGGACATCCATCTGGCGGTTCCATCTTATATCCTTTTTCTACACACTTTACAACATCGGCTAGAGGCTGCAATTATAGTAATAATATGAAGAAAATATATCATGTGTCTTGTATAAAAAAGTTTAGTGTAACAATGACACTTACAATTCGCGGATACGGCACACGACCAAAAGAATAGATTTCCCAGAGAAGAATTCCGAAACTCCACATATCAGACTTGTTTGAAAACTTCTGGAAAAAGTAATATGATACATAAGTATATCAATTTTTAATATATTATAATTTGTTATTCGCCTGTAAAGTTATAATGTATTTACGTTTTGTTTTAGAGCCTCTGGTGCAGTCCACTTGATCGGTAGTTTTCCACCGTCGAGAGAAAAGTTTTCGTCCCGCGCCAGGCCGAAATCGGACACCTTAGCGGAATTATCCTCTGCTACGAGAACATTTCTCGCTGCTAAGTCTCGATGCACAACATGTCTGGATTCCAGATACGCCATACCGGCACACGTATCGCTATAACATATCAAATAATGCAATTAAATAATGTACAGGTCTTTTACAGTCGGCAAAACGGATTTTGTGTTTGCTTACGTACTATGCAAAGTTAATCTGATCCTTTTTCGAAACGTGTAGTCTTCCTCTCGACCGCAAATAATCCACCAGGGATCCCTTGCTCATATACTCCGTAACCAGGTACATGTGTTGATTATTAAAAACCAGACCGAGTAATTTAACCAGATTGTCATGAATCAACGAGGTCATTAAGCTCGCCTCGGCCAGAAACCTCTGCGCCGCTTCGCTGTTATCCTTCAGCATTTTCACCGCAACCCTCTCCCCTCGATATACGCCTAGCAGCACGTCCCCGAATTCTCCCTTACCAATACACTCCCTCAACTCTAACTCGTGAGTCTGAATCACCCAACCGGCCTCTACAAACGCCTTTGGATCCACACAGAAGTCTTGCTTGCCCTGTTTCGGCAAAGATTTCGTTAGCTGCGTGCACAAGCCATCCGCGTCCTGCTCGTAATGCTCGACCAAAAGCGCCAGATTTTCGAAGAATTCCTCGTCGTCGATCGTTAATTGGTTGTTTTTATATTTCACCCTATAGTGCTGTACACGCCCCTGGTAGCATACACAGAGCGTGTAATCCCCAGGGAAATTCGTGGACTCTCGAACTAGAAACAAACCATCCTCTCGCGGTCGCAACAATCTCTCTGCCGTTTCCCTTGATATCTTCCCGTGAAACCATCTGCACAGAAAAAAAAACATAATTTTAAATGATAGAAGTATTATAGTTTTTTTTAACTGCGCTTTCGCAAGATCGATTTATTTGTCGATTATCTCAATGTGTATATCTCTCTTTTTAATTATAGCCTTCTTGCAAATCGTTATATTTGCACAAATTAAACTAACAATAAGCTAATGATACATACGGCATCGCGTTCAGTTTCACTTCGTGTCGTGGATTGGCCGGCAATGCGGTGGTGTTGGCGCCCGGATTAATGGTATTTGAGGTGAGAATCACCGGCGAAGAGTTCATGTGCGTCGTGATGTTCGAGGTGGTGACACTCGAATGCGTGGTCATCGTCGGCGACACTGGGTGGGACGGAATGCTACTTGCAGTTAAGTTGGAAGGAACGCTGTGCTGTTGCTGCTGCTGCTGTTGCTGCTGCTGCTGAATGTTGTTTTGAATGAGGGGATGAGACGTTACGTTTGAAGGGATAGTGTGATGATTTTGATTGCCGTCGAGCTTCGCTTGCCGCGCTGGCGCTGACACATTCGGGTATCCGCCACCCGCATTGTGGTACGTTGGCATGGCAGCTACCACACAGTAGGCTCTATCAACCTACGAAGATGAATGAAGCGCATTCATGAATCTTAGGAGGCGTCATTTATCAGCCTGCCTCATTAAATAAGATGCTTTAGTGATGTTCTATCCGTAAGTACATTCATGACTCGTGTAAAAGTAATGCAGGAGATACAGTACATGAAAATGATACATCAAAGTATGTAGATTCTTTAACTTCTTTCAAAAAGATTTTAAAAATTTTTAAATGATTAACATAAATAACATTAATGTTGTTAAAATGCATATAATAATTTCTATATATCAATTTTGCTTTACATTTTTCTTACGGCTTGTATTTTTTTGAATAAACAATCATCCTCCTACTTTTTCGCCGAACATCAAATTAGATTGTTAAACCGTAACACATGTTCGACAGATCTTCTCAACTCTTGCACTGAAGATCGTCAACTCGAGAAGCCACGGAGTGAAGTACACTTGCGGCAAGAAAAGCCGGTTCCACGCGGGGAATTCTCCCGGCGGAACAACAGCTAGAGTCGTCCCATAAAAACACGAGCGAGGTGCGAGCAGCGATCGGCAATGTTTACAACGGAGACAACTCAATTATCCCGAGCACGACGTAACGCACGGAAGCGATAATTAATAAAACTCGTTAGACGAATTGAGTCCGATGCATATTCAACCCGGCATACATATCCGGTAAACCGCGTGTCGGGTTTTAATATACAGTAGTTAATCTAAGCGCCTATTGTTTCAAGGCGCATACGCTATCGCGATGCTCATCCGCCGTATTACGATGCGCCGCACGACCGTACATGGAACGTGTATATATGATAGGTGAGTCACACACCAGCCGTGTATTTTTTCGCGACGATTGTAACACGGAATAAGCGTGGTGGAGTAAGCCTATAATTATCCTGCCGGACCTGACTAAGCGACATACAATTTCCACGCAAAATAAATACATTTCCGAATAGAGAATCCGCGCTGCGAAAAATCGTAAATCATTTACTTTGGCATTCATGAAGGTATTCGAATACATTTTTATTGTATCTCAAGAACAGAGGCATCGGATAAACTCAATCTGTCGAAACGATGCGAAAGCCGTGCGGAAATATTCCTGCCGATCCGAGATGAATGAAACATACGTAGGAAGTGCTTCGTAACGCAGGAAAATGGCTTTTAAAGGAAATGCTCGTCGACTACGGATTCCCTGCAACGATTTCCCGACGTTATCCGCATTATGATCAAACGCGGTAACAGGAGAAACAAATCCATCGCACCGGCGAATATTGAATAATTCAACTGAGTGAGTCTATCCTTGGTCGGGTGTCTGCAAAACAGGAGGGGGGGAGAGAGAGAAAGAGAGAGAGAGAGAAACAAGTGAATTATGTCACGCGAAAAGGTATAGTTACAGCGGAACATAATACGCGAATCGCTTTGTTACGTAAGCTCAAATAATCATATTTCTGTCATATACCTTCCCGCCGGTATTTCAAAAGAGATAGATAAGCGATTAACATCGTAGAACATATGACACGCAGAAGAGAAAATGTCAAACCGAGATTCTAAAAATATATATATATATAATATATATGTATGTTGTATATATAATGCCGAGCTTGTGATAGACTACATAATTCGTCTCTACATCGTTCTTTACAACAGGCACGTATAAAAACTACGATAAGCATGAAAGTTAAACGGTTTTATGGGTCAGATATATAATGGAAGAACCACATTTTCTCTCCTCTCTACGTTAAAATGGAGTTCCATACCCAAAAAGAAAAAAAAAGTGGTATCGTGCCCGACAGGCGCGAAACGCTTTGAATATCAATATCGAATCTGGATGCAAGGTGCGTACATGTAATACACGTTCCATCGCGCTTGTCAGGTAACTCGACTGCACGGCCGCATAGATTTCAGGCTAATGAAATTTATTATCGGCTGCACGCGACGTTAATTCCTACCGGTGTAACATATGTAAAAAAAAAAGCTCTGTGCAAAACTGTTCTATCGCGTGCAGCGAGGTGCTTAAGAGAATTATGTGCTATATATTTGCAACCGTTTATGACTCAAACTATTTATGCCTCCAATATCTATGATTCAGAGGAAATGCGCGTCTTCTGAAATTGCGTATCGCGTAGAAATTTGATAAATAAAATATATCGGAAAAAAAATTATTAGCAACTGATAGAAAAAAACTGTTTTAGAAATCTTATAAACGGAAATTTTTCTTTAATAGTCACGTTTTATGCAATAAATAATTAATGTGATTGTACAGATGCTTGCATCGATACTTGAGTGGTGCCGCGTAAATAAATCGTATTATTTTTAGAAAATCACACTTTATAACTCTTGTTTTAGACGATGTATTGCCCTGATCCTTGCATAGCGAAGTGGTTGGAAGTTCCATCTATTTCACGTTTATCAGAGAAACGCAAAGCAAGACAAATATTCTGGAAAGCAAATATTCTCGCGCGCTCGGCGCGAAATATTCTAGCCGCGAAATGAACCAAGGAAAAGAAACTTCAAGAAGTCTCGTTACTTGACGACGATACATTCAACATGTATACGTATAAATTATAAAATATCTCTCTCGAAGTGCTCGAGGGAGATAGCAGCGTGTTGCAGTCTATGTTAATTTCAATAGATTATGTAGTCACGATAATTATATACATGTAGTTCATACGCAGATTTCAAGGCCGACCTGCAGTTTACAGTGTTTTTCGAACTCCGGCTCCGTGATTCACTATCGAAGCGCCTTTGTGCGAGCCGCAGACCACAGTCCACGTCGTGCACGTTTCACCAGGAGCGACGTGGTTTCATTCGCACGTGGAAAACCTCATTTATCGATAAAAAAAAAAGATGTTTTCTTGTATCCGAGAAATTGTGGTCCGTATGAACGTAACCGCTGAGCTTTCAAGGATAGGACAATAACTGGAATGACCGCGATTCTCATGGCTTCCAATAAATAGGGGAAAAAAAGATCTTTCCGTGTGAGCGGCACTGCGAAAAAAATATATATGCGCACTAATAATTCTTTCTTAAAGAGAATTTTTATGATAAAAAATAATATCCCCAGAAAGCTTTACTTTTCTTTAGATGCCTCATATAGTAGTAAAAAATCGTATAAAAATCTAAAACGTATATTATAGATATATTTTATAGTTCATAAATTAACTAACAAAAAAATATATATATGTGTGTACGTATATTAGTTTTTGAGTTTAATAGACGATCTTTTTTTTGTTAATTTATGAGAGTTTGAGTTAATTTATAAAAGCCTAACATCCGAAGATCTCAAATGGATGCAATCCCCATATAACCAGAACAACGTTTTATGTATTACATATAGTGAACGCGAATGTGCATGACTGAGGACAAAATCGTCTACGAGACGAGATTCACGATCGCTGATTTCGCGAAAGGCATTTTATGCGAGGCTCGTGTCCGCTCGCATGCATGCCTTGGGCCGGCACGCACCACGGTCCTATTAATATCTCGCGAGAGAGCGTAAAAGGGCGCAAATGCGAAAGGCACGCGGAGGGGGGGGGGAGCAGGGAGCCGGCGCGACGTAGAGGCAAGCCGCGGGTGCGTGCAACAGATTCGCGCCCGGCGAACGCTCGTTGTGCGCTCTTTAACAGTACACGTTACTGTACCGTGACCCACCACCGTTTTCCATCTGACGTTGCCCCACACATGACTCTCCAGGGGACAAACCTCTCTTCCTCTCGCGTGGAAACGCTTTCTTCCTGACTCGCGAGAACTTCCGAACACGCGACGCGTAGCAGAAACTTTTGCGACGAGCAACGCGAAACGAATCACGGAAGGGACACCTCGCGTGTCTAATCGCGTTGACAGCCCGGATTAGATCGTTGATGCACAAACCGGATCGCCGAGATTCGTGTTTATTTCATTAGTCCCTTTTCTGTCATTGCAATTTATGGAAAATGTATCATCGAGCACGAATTTCTGAAGCAATTTTAAGTAAATTTTCTTTTAACTATAAACAGCCTACATACTATCTAATTTTGTTAAGAGACAGTGATCGAAGAAGAATAAACTGCAGATTCGCCTGTCCTTCTATAAGCCACAAAGATGTATTTTATCGTCTCTACTGCCACATATATCTTCTAATCAGTTACTTCTTAAAGTTAACTATCTGATTATATAACAATGAAATAAGTGTTACGTTATTAACGGGTCTGAGAATAGGTAGAAATAAAATTAAATGAATGGCAGCTAACACATGTTTAAGATTTATATATTTATATAGTTTTCTGAAAAAAATAACGGGTCCCGATAAATCACCGCATCCAGCCAAATCTTTCTTTACTCTCTCTCCTTTTATCTTTAAACCTTTCAAAATCCTATATTTATTTTATATGTTTCATTCATATCCCAGCCCTTAACGACATCGACACAAACGAGCTGTCCGGAATGCGACGTGTCGGTGTAGATCGTATCGTGGAATGCGTGAAACGCGAATAGCGCTACTACTGAATAGCGGGACCAACCACCCGGTACTTGACTCTCGTATAAAGGGAGAATTGAAGTCATTACAAAAAGCAGCATTTTTTGTCTCTCATTTCTCGAATCTTTCGCTTGCGCGCACTTCGCGGAAGACTTCGCGTTGGTATATAGAATAGCATCGTTAATACCGAAATGGAACGCGAAATTTCTACCTTCTGCCGTTTACGGATTTATTTTCTTGCCTATTGTCTCGCCCGAAGACATTAATATCAAGTCACGATAGAATAAAAGGATTAATTTAAGGTGCAAATATCTTGAAAGCGTACCTATGCTTTGAATCGAGTATCCATTTTCCGGAAATATTGCCCCTCTGAAACATAAAACAGAAAGTACCGTCAGTTACAAACTTACGATGATTCTTTATCTTAATGTCTACATTTATTTTAAGTATTCTAAACATTATGCTATCTTCAAAAATATCCAAAGATATTAAATAATTGCAGATCATTAAAAAGTAAGAGTGCAATCATAGAACGGCGAATAATAAATGAATATTAGCTCCAACTTTGTGTAAATATTTTCAAAAGAGCATATATATTAACAGATTATTAATAACGCGGATGTCGCGTGCCAGAAGATAAATATAAAGCACAGTCGCCTTTAAAAATGTTCTTTCGCGATCAAAGTTGCTTTTTCTTTCTTATAGATATTTTTCTAAAATTTCGCACATTTCCACGGTGCCCTTCCCGGATTTAATTAGAACAAGAAGCACACAAAGTAGAACCGTTCGGCCGTTCGTGTTCGGCCGTGATTTGGCGGAAGAGGAACGTGGAAAAAATGCGCGACTGCGGGAAGGAAGAGCCTTTCCATTTGTGGCGCGCAATTAAGCACCGCGCGCTCGCGCGACTGCGTTATTCATCGCCCGTTAACCGTATAATTAGCCAATTGCTAATTGCCCGAGTTCACATGAGCCCGAGCAACCGAGGGGCCTGTTTGCCTGGCCCAGGCGCATTAATCACTCGGTCATCTCATATGATCCTCCTCTCGACACAAATCGAACCAGGTCAACGTAACGTCAGAGAGATATCAAGTATTTTGGCTAAAGTACAACGTGAAATTATAACGAGAAAATTTTAGGACTCGATATGAGCATGAATTTTCAAGATTAATTTCTATAGTTTCACAAACTCTTTCTATAAACATTATATAATTAAAATTAAATTAAGTACAAACTGAATCCTCTGTCTCTTTAAATCTGACTCTAAAAATATTGTTAAGAAGAGTTTGCGTTAGCTAATATATTAACTGGAAGACATTGATGCAAAATAATTTAAAACTATACTCTCCAGTGTTTCAGTTACAATTTCTTATAAAGAAACTTATAATAAATACAATAAATGGACGATTGAATAAAATTAAAACAATTTTTTATATTCCATAAAAATTAAAGAACAGATACTTTTTTACTTTTCACACATGTTGATATTCTTGACATAAGCTAAATATAAAAAATTAATTTGACTTAAAATTACTTTTTATAAAGACTTATTTGTACAAATAGTACAAACAAGACTAAAACTGTGACACAGACGGTTCAAATTATGTTTAGCTCAGCACATTGTTAAGATCACCACTGCTAATTCATAATCCTTCCCATCATGCTCTGCTGTTAACGATGCAATATTTTATGTACTTCCAATCTAATTGTAAACATGATTTATTTAGCCAAAATTATTAAATAAGAAAATATTCTCAATAACAATTAAAAACTAAACTTAATAACAGAACGCAACAGAAAGAACGTATGAAGTAGAAGAGTGCATTCGCATAACATTTTCTTCTCATTTTCTTCAGATCATAAACTCAACGTAATTAGCGAAACAGTCGTTTCTGATTAAGAAAACAGGCGCGGGTTTAAAGTCAATCGGCGGTATGCGACTGGACCCAGAGAGACAGAGAGAGAGAGAGAGAGAGAGAGAGAGAGAGTGCGAGTTCTGTCATTTAAATACCGCCCACTGAAAGCGACAGGAAAAAAAATCATGTCCGGAGTATATAACCAAACTCTCCCTGTCGCGGGCGAGCGGCCGCGCGCGCGCGAGCGCACGCGAGGCTCTCGGGACGTGCGGGAGCCGCACGTAGGTCGCGAGTCGCCGGGTGCGGGTCGACGACGCGCGTCCCGGCGCCGCGCGTCAACGTTCCCGGTACGCCGCGCGGGACGTACGTGCGCGAAAATGCGATTAAATACGCACCTAAAATCCGCTTGCGGCGAGACGACCACTCCAGCCGTGCGGGCGGAACGCGGCCGCATTCACCTGCGACCGCGCGGCGCGCGATCGGCCACCTTCCGCGCGGGCGAGGCGGACGGACGTGCCTGACACGCTGCGACGGACGTGCACGTTCGCACGCGCGAATATTCATGCGCGAAGACTGCGCGGCGCGATCACAGACGCAAACACCTTGCGAGAAACGTCACTCACTCACTCGGGTCGGGCGGCCATTTTGCTACGCACGACTACTCGCCTAGTCAAGTTCAGTACTTCAGTGTCGCCACTCGCATGCGCGCGCGCGCTAGTAACTACAAACTACAATGATACCAACTAGAGTCTTCGAATGATCCGAGATGCGATATTTCGACAATCGATATGACGACATATCGAAAGTCGATATTCTGCTAAAGAAAGAAGGTTAAGTTGTTTGGAACTTTGGAAGAGAAGCACAGGTTATTTTCTAAATAATATACTGTAAATAATTTTTAACTTTTCTCGTTTTCAGTTCACAAAACATTACAAAGCTTGCATAAAGGGACGTTATAAATTTGGATATTATAATATAGCTTATACAAAAAGGAGAATCAGATTTTAGAAATTCTTCGAATATCTTTTGAGAAGGAATGTCTTTTAAGGTTAGTTTCGGAACGCCGTTGCGGAAAATGATTTGTTATCGCCGGTCTGTTCATGTTGTCTAATGCATGAATATATGTCTACCTTATTTTAAATGCAAACATTTTTGAGAATTTAAGCAACGCGAATAAATTTAAAATTTATTTCATAAAAAAAATGTTTTGGGGATTTCAAACAATAAATCTATTGCAAAACGCGCGGTCACTCTATAAATTTGCGCAAACAACGGCAATAATGACTCTTGATTATCAAGAATATCACGTCAGAATGATATATCTAGAAAATTTCGAATAATTTCAAAATATTTTTTTATAAGATTGGTAATTTTTTAAAATCTCAGAAGACGCACGTTGTTTATACTATTTTTTGTCAAAATAATTTTTGTAATTTTTTTCTAAAAATTTCAACTTTTGTCATTTCTTTTTGGGGTTCCGATAATGATATTTTTCAAAAGATTTTGAAAGACAAAGACGCACATTTCTAACTCGTATTGCTATCTCATCGGAATATACATGTTACTTTTCAAAAAGACACATTTTGATAGAAATATTGGCTCATACATTGCTTGAATTTCTTTGGACTTTCAAACGTTTCAAAACTATCAAACTGAAAGCTAAATTGTTGGCTCTCTTTCTAGCCAACAGTCAACGGTACGACGAATGTCATGAATAAAATATGATAAATGCGATATGTTCGATCCGAAAGTAGCCATTTTCAAGCTCGTCAAAGCACACGTCGAGTCTACAATTTTTTATCGATATGCAAATTGCTTTTATACGATCCATTATTTTTGTCGTTAAAAGAGAAAGCTATTTCCTTTCTCTATCGTTCCTAAAGATATCTCTACATGAAACGACTTTCCACTGAGAATCGTACATAAAAAAATCACTTCGAATTAAGTGCTCGAATGCGTTATTGGATATAAGAGTGGAATTTTCGCAGATTGATTAATGAAAATGTAGATTCGAAGTGTTCGGGCGTCCCTTTATTCTCGATAAGTGATACGTATTATTGGCATTTAATTTAGATCGATGTCGGACTAACTTACCATGCGTTTTTTCCGAACTCTGGCAACAAGGACGGATTTAACCTCTCAATCCAGGTGGCTCGTGTTTGAAAATTCAATTGTGATTTCCTGTCATCTCCATATGGTGATCGTTCCCGTTGGCAGCACGAAGCACCTTTGATCGTTGATAAAGTCTTTCGACTTCGACGTGTAGCACGATGGCACCGCAATTGCAGATTTTGTCGAATATCCTGCAGGTAAACAGGCCGATAAGCATATTTGCATCGATAATAATTCGAGAACGTAATTCCTCAAGTTTTTATTACTTTAGATCGCCCGTAATATTTCTAGCGAGGAACAGTATTTTGCGAATGTATTTTATGCTAAATTATTTAAAATAACGCTACATCTCTGTGCATTTAATTAATAAAATGTCTGTATTTAGTGCTTAAATAAAATATTTTGTGCTTAAATAAAATAATATGTTTAGCGACTAGAAAACATGGAAACCGCAACCACTGGCTATCTTTATGGAATTATGTACAATGATACTCTCGTAGTTCTAACATTCAGTATAAATTCGGGTAACGGTGAGGATAAGAACATAACAGATCACACAGCGCTGCAGTTGAATCTACCTGCGGATATATATTTCTGTGGCATATTACATATTGGTGAATGCGAAGAAATAAATCCTGACGTTTTCAAGGTAATTACTGATATCGCTTAGATTTTTCTATTTGTCTTTGCATCATCTATTCTTATATTAGCCTTACAGTGAAAAAATGAAATAATTTTGCACATTGCATTAGAAATTATTCAGTGAGATAACCCATATGTTTGTTTATTTGTTTAGGACATTGATATTACAGATAATCCATTACTTTTAAAATATTCACGTAATACGTTGGATATGCAGGCGTATTTTTATATGCATCAAAAATTGGAAGCTGTAAATAATCTCAGTATTATCAGCGAGGATGATCTTTCTCGGCAGTTTGTGTATATTAGATTACAAGCGACTCTACCATTAGTTGCTCAGGATGGGAACATAGTGGAAGCCTTGCAAGAGTCACGAAAAAATGTGAGGTTTTCTCCTTGATTAACATTTATGTTAATTTTTTGTCTTATATATATGCTGCATGTATATCGCGTACAATTTTGTGCTGCTGTAGATTGCATCTGGAAAAATAGGAATACATTTCCCTTCAAACGATGCATACCTATTCAGAATTGATGATAATTTAAAAGATATAATGTTAAAAGATATTTTATCTACATCCAAAGACCAGGAGAAATCTTCAAGTAACGTAAACTATAATACTGGGCCTGTGGTATGTATTTTTTTTTTACTAAAACTAATATATACTACTTTAAACAGAAATAGCTTTGGGATATTTTTATGTATTTTTATATTATTGTGTTAATTTTTAGAATATTATACATGCAAACATGTTATTAAAGATGTCAAGTGAGAGAAATTCTGAAGAATCTATCAGATATGCTCCTGTCTTACAACACATCAAAAGTGAGTATTGTGGAACAATATAAATTTATTGATTAGTTTGCAAGAAAGTATTTTTAGACATGTATAATATTTTAATAGTTTCCGAATTATCACATATTATATTTATGTTGCAGAATCCTTCGATAGTTCAGAATGCAATTTACACATCGATGCACTGTCATTGGTGAACTTAAATGTGAAATCAGCTGAACTGCACGCGATTCTAGTGGAATCCACTTGCCGGAACATTAGATTAATTGAAATACAACAAGAAAATCAGTCTGAAGAAACAAAACTACCTGAAGTCATGCATTTTAAACCTCAAGGCTGTGGACATTTATTTACAGCAGTATATCCTGGCAATGCTACTAACGACACCACAAGTATGATTATATCTTAATTACAGTTGTTTATCGTCGATCATGCAATAAGTTCCATCACTGTTGGCTTTTGTATCATTTATAATTATCCTGCATTATCGTTGCATTCATAATTAATAATTACCAAATTTTTAATCATAGTAATGTGTGTGTCATCTATTTGCTTTTATACAGACCAGTCATATAATTTCAGTGGAATATCGTAAGGCATTACACAAGGCTTTAGCATTAGATTTGACTAAACCATATTTTCGACGAGGAAATGCTATCAAATTTGACATACAGACAAATGGAATACTTGTAAATCCTCACCAGGCTCTTTTACATAAAGGTATGTATATATATATATATATATATTTCAAATTCTCAAATTTATCATTATTTGCAATTGTTGTAATATCTTGTCTTAATTAGGTATTATGGGAAAACTTAGTATTGTGGATGGTTTGTATTCGTACCATCACTATATGCAAGATAAATTTGATGACAATGGATGGGGATGTGCCTATAGATCTCTTCAAACTATCATTTCGTGGTACAGGTAATGAAATGCCAGAAAAAGATACCTAGAGATTGTGTATGCAATGTTGAAATATATACACGTAAATAAATTGCAATCTGTTATAGATTACAAGGTTATAATGAAGTACCAATACCATCTCATCGCAAAATACAGCAGTGTTTAATCGATATAGGCGATAAATCTTTCACCTTTCTTGGCAGTAAACAATGGATTGGTTCAACCGAAGTGAGTTTTGTGCTGCAAACTCTCCTCAATATAGATACTAAAATACTTCGTGCGTCAAGTGGCGAAGAGATGTTGGCCTTAATCCCACAACTTGCAAATCATTTTGATACACAGGGTACACCTATCATGATTGGTAAGTTCTAATCATATTTCTTCATATTCTACAAACGATTAAAATTAGATATATCCAATTAGATATTAAAGTGGCAACTTTCTGAACATTTTTTTTTTTCATATTTGTATAGGTGGAGGAGTATTAGCTCATACAATTTTAGGAGTTAGTTACGATGAATATTCTGGAGAAGGAAAGTTCTTAATTCTAGATCCACACTACACAGGTGCGGATCACTTGCCTACTGTAATAAATAAGGGGTGGTGTGGCTGGAAGACAAAAGATTTTTGGAAAAAGGACGCATTTTACAATATGTGCCTTCCACAAAGACCTATAGCCTTCTGATATTAAACAGTACATTGTACAGAATTTAATTTTCTAAATATAATCAAAATAAAATTATCATGTATTCACATTATATAAGCACATTATATTATGTATAGAGTAATTTTTGCAATATATTACATCACTGCAACATTTCTAACATTTTTATTTTACTTGCATGATACATGCAACAATAGAATAAAAACAATGAATGTATACATTTATTTCTAAATTAAGATACTTGTAATAAAAAGTGGATATTTATTGGGTATGTTATACTGAAAAATGTATACTTTCTCATTGTTATAATATATAATTTTATTGTAGATTCACAAATATTAAATTAAGAATGTGATATTAGATTTAATATTTATGATTATAAATCTTGCATTACTTTCAATACAATTTTTTTTATCTGTTTCCTTTTTCTATATATAACATTTATACCTTAACGATCTGCAAGTTTTACTTTCCTATAGAATTTTGTATTAATTGTGCGAAACGATTAGTAATAAAGAAGGAAACATCTATGAATCTGTCGACGCAATTATGTATACATGTTTCTGTGCGACCATCCAATTTACTTCCAGGCTTATCGACGCATTTATCCCAACAAAAGTCGTTGAACTCGTGAATCTAAGCAAATTTAAAAATTTTCATGAAACTTACACATAATAGAATAAATTTTTTTTTCCACCTAGATGCGCAAGTATGATGTCTCGAAAATAATGTGTAAAATAACCTTAGATGCGTAAGTATAATCGCCTCGAAAATAATATTGAAATAATTTAGAAAGCTATATTCAGATGGAATTTAATAAGTTTATTTGTACGTTAAGATGTTTCACCTGTGCGTTAAATTGTGCCTTTTGCTTCTCGACCATCAAAAGTTCCGCCAATTCGGGATCGATCCCTTTTCCGTCCTTGTCAGAAAAGGAGTTGCTATCAAATAGATCTGACATGTTTTCTGAATTTGTGATCCGCGTAGGTTTGCAAAATCTTATTTCGTATGAAAATGTATAAATTTTCCCAAGCACGTGGGCTGTCGAACCCACTGACGAATCCGGATGAATGGCGAAAACCGTGGACGTCAGTGAGGTTAGAATACAAACGCATGCAATGTCCGCAACAGGATGACGCAATGTAGCGTACACTAGCTCCATCACATCCATTTTTTAAATGGGACTATGTAGCCACATCCATTTTCAGATACATAGCATGGTCGAAAATTATAACGTCGAAAATGGATGTAGTTATATTATCTCATTTAAAAAATGGATGTAATTTGTGGGTTACCGACGCGATCTCAAATATATACATATATACCATCTATAGGAAAGTTATTTTCTTGGCATTAATTGATATACGCATCGTATGCATCTATTCGAGAGTCGATAATATCGATGTCGCGTTTTCATTTCGCGAAAGATCCGCTGTGTGAGTGACGTGGGTAATACGATCGCGTGAAAGTCACCTAATAAAATGTCGCACATCTGCCATATTGCACTGAATAGTAACATTTAGCTAAGCGTCCCTATGATCACGCGGATCGGCACTTGACGAATCTGTCGCCTTATCTCTCAAAAAACTGTATCCGACATCGAATTTTCTACCGGATCGACGTCGTACGACCTGAAAACGTCAAAATTCACCACCGGATCGCGAATTAACGGAACGTAATGTGCAGTGATAACCGTATATACGTTTTTTCTCGTGTTGAAAATTGAGACAGCTCGACGAAGTCGCAGATATTAGTTCCTGGTTATCAGTACATGCATAAACTACCTGGCGATGATCCTCGCACACGTATCCTGGCATTCCTGGTTGTATTTAGAGCAGAATATCCAAAATATCCTAGACCGGCTAGGCTAGAACGGCAGCTCCTTGGTCGATGCTCCACGGAGCACAAGAGCTCCGGATCGCCGGTACTCCGACGCATCACACAAAGCACAGCTCGTGATCCACACGTATACAAAACAT